TTTCAGGGATGGGGCATCCAACACCTCTCTGGACAACCTGTGCCAGTGTTTCACCACCCCTAGCATAAACAGTTTCATCCTTAGACCTAACCTGAATGTCTCCTCTTTTCATTTAAAACCATTATCCTTTGTCCCTTTGCAAGAGGCCCTACTAAAAATGGGTCCCCTTGAAGTTTTGAAAGGAAGCAGAAAGGTCTCCCTGGGGCCTTCTCTCCTCCAGGCTGAGCAAGCCCAGTTCTCTTGGCCTTTCCTCAGAGGAAAGGTGTTCCATCCACCCTTCTGTGTTGTATTTTGGGAGTGCATTCAGTTTTAGCTGGTGGCAAGAGAACTGCAGTAGAATGGTGCCAGGTACAGAGGCCCAAAATGGTGTTGGTGGAAAAGGAACCCAGTCCCAGCCCAGCAGTCAGAGATGTGGCTGTTCTTGTCTTGGTGCTGAAAACCTGCACCTGAGTGTTCTTCAGAATAGCACAGCCCTAAATCCTAATGGGATCAGCATTTCTTAGAGGTGCTGGAGTTCCCTGTGGAACACCTTGCACTCATCTTTTCTGACAACTAAAGCAGCCCCTACCTTTAGAAAAAAGGAACCTTAGTGAGTCCTTTGAGTTTCCTGAAATGGAAAAATCCCTAAGGCAGCAAGTGGCATTCCCAGAGTGCTGGCAGGGTCAAAATCCCAGCAAGCTGAGGACACCTTGATAAATTGATTATTGCCTCTGACAGCAAGGTCCTGAATATTAAGACTGAAGTGGAGATGGTCCCCTCAGTCCTATTTATGTGTATTTCTGGTAAGCAGAGGAATCATGCTTCCTCTTGTGAGAAACTGGCTTTGGAAAGTAATGGTACCTTTCTTTCTTTCTTTCTTTCTTTCTTTTTCCCTTTGGGCAGCATCCATTTTTACGAACAGCCGTGAGTCTCTCTGTCCTGCCTGACTTGATCTGTGTAGCCAGGAAAATCTGTCAGGCCACAGAAACAGCTCAGGACAGCAGTGCCAACCCAGAGCAAAAGCAAGAATAAAATTTTCACTCCTTTGGGAGATTTGCTCCCTTCTCACCCAATGGTTCCATTCACTTCTGAATTATTGGTTGCTTCTTAAAGATGGGAAAGTCCTAATTATGGGGGTTTTGGTATGGTTTGGAAATGGGGAAGGACTTCCTTCATTTATCAGCTCCAGACCACAGTGCCTCTGGAATGCCCAAGGGCTGGGTTTTGCCCACTTGTGGCACTTCTGGGTGAGGAAGAAAGGGCAATTGCATTTCCAGCCAAATGGGGCAGGCAAAACATCCTGTTCAATACACAGTCAGCTGGGACTATGGAGTGTTTGGAGAATTCCCTGTCCTCCCTCCACCGGGCAGAACATGTTGACACCAAAAAATATATAGAGAATACAGAAAAAGATATGTATATAACATAGATTGCTAAATGGGGGAAGGTGTGCAAATGTACATAGACACATGCATAAATACACATGTGTATAATTCTTATATGTATAAATATTTATAGAATATATATTATATGTACTCTGTATATATATATACACACACTATATATATAACGTTTTTTTATATAATTATATGTAGAGATAGTGTGTTACAGACCTATGGACATACATTTACCTTGTACCTTATATTGTCCCCTATGCACAACCCCCCCATAACTCTCCTGAACTGTAGTTCCTTGCATAATGCTCCTTTTATATATATATATATACACATACACACACACACATATGAGATATAAAAATATGTATATACATATATATATCTCCAATATATGTGTGTATATATATATATCTCCAATATATGTATATATATTGGAGATGTGTGTGTATATATAGTGTGTGCATATATGTATAAATGTACATATGTACATATATAAAATTTTTATATTCATATATGTATATATATATTAAAAAAAATATATATATAATATATATATATTTTTTTTTAATATTCACTCAGAGGTGCTTCTATAAGTTACACAGTGTGTAGAGAGCTATAAGAGCGTGTATAGGCTAACGTGTGGCATCCTCTATAAATTAAACACCGTTTTTTTCCGGTGTGTGGCACCCGCGGTCAGGTGTCGGTACCTGGCCCTGGTCACACCTGTGTGGGTGGACACCGAGCGCCCTCTCGCGGCCGCCGCCGGCGCAGAAATCGCTAAAATTGAATTTTTTTGTAAAATTTTATTTAGGTCACTTCGTATTGAAAAGTTACAAAATGTTGCAATGAAATATTTTACACCCGTTTCCACCTGTTTTTATTTTTGAGGTGGTTCGAGTGTGTACATAAATGCAGCCCTTCTCCCCTCCCAAAAAACCAACCCCAAGATATTTTCCCCCATGCTGATATTGTTACAAAATGAACAATTTTAAGTACCAATGTTAGAAGCAGGCAGCAGCACAAGCCCCTGCCAGCCTGCCCTTGCCTGGCTTCACCTGGGAAGGCAGAAGCATCTGTAAACCAGCAGAGCCAGCTGTGTTCCCAGGCTGGATCAGCTCTTCCTGATGGGAAAACCAAACACTTCCCAAAAATAATCAATGCAGGCATCCTGCTGAGCCTCCTGCAGCTCCCTGCACTGCCAGTCCCTCAGGGCAGCACTGCCAGCAGTGCCTGTCCCCATGCCACAGGGACAAACTGGGGCAATGCCTGGAGCTGGCACAGTGAGCAAGGCCTAGAAGTCACCATGTCTGTGCCCCCCACCCTGAGTTCCCACTTTGCCAGGCTGTACATGCCCAGGAGCTGCTGGTCACACTCCTTGTGTCCCACTGATGCTGGGGACAGCCCTGGACAGAGCCTGGAACAAGTTTGTGGTGCTGGGAATTGGGGGCCAGGGTTGTGTGGCTGCAAGGAAAGAGCCAAGGGACTCAGGAGCTTCCTCAGCCAAATCGTGGGGCAGGGAGGCACAAACCTCTGGTGCCATCTCAGTGTGGAATGGTTTTCAGGCCAAACACTGACCCTTGGCCAAGCCAAGCCCTGGGAATGGCCCCATCCCATAGGGAATGGCCCCCATCCCATAAGGAACACTGGGATTCCTTATGGTCTGGGCTGTGGGAGCTGCTTCCTGCAGAGTGTGAGGAAAAGCCAAGCAAACAGCTCTCAGTGCAGGACTAGGGCAGCCCTGACATTTGCAGTTCTCCTTGTCCAAGCTTTGGGCTGCATGACAGTTTATGCTTTTAAAGAGAGAAATCTCAGTTTACAAACGTTTCTGGAGTAAGCAGCCCTGAAGCCATGAGCTTACAGAGAATGTCACTTGCCTGTGGGGCCTGTAGTTCACACCTCTGACAAGATCGCTGCTGTGCCAAAGGGCCTGAGCCCAAACTGTCTGAAAAGAGCTGGATTTTGGTCCTCGGTACATGCAAGCTGATGGCACTGCAGCATCATTCACAGCCCCACAGACCATCTCTGCCATGTCAAAGAAAGCATTTTCCTACCACAGCAATGATCCTTTTGGAGCCCTGAGGAGACCTTTTGTGAAAACATTAGCTCTGTCAAGAGCCATTTCATAAACTGTAAAAATTGCACAGCGTGGCTGAAGTGGCTATGAGGCACATAGAAATCCAAATTTCCTGGCTGTAAAAAGGCAGAATGGTCTTTCAGCTTAGAAATCCAAATTTCCTGGCTGTAAAAAGGCAGAATGGTCCTTCAGCTTCACTTTCCCACCCAGAATCTGCAGCTGTGTAAAATCCATTTCTGAGTGTCTGGCAGAGAGCCCCGTGCACTGCCAGGGTCACTGCCCAGCGTGCCCACCCCAGACAGCTGCTGAGGGAGCCCTGCCCAGGGCTGCAGGGCAAGGGGAGAGCTGGCACCAGGCCCCTGCTCTGAGGGAAATGTGAAATAACACCCATCCTCCGTGGTACCTGAGTGAAACTCCATCAAACATCAGCGTGCCAGCAATAAATGACTGCAAAATTTTGAGTGAGACCTGACAAGTGCCAGCGAACAGCACCCTGCTTTTACAAACCCACCTTTTTCATGAGCTCATTTTCTCCTCTTTCAGGCTGGTGCTACACCTACCAAAACAAGAGGGCTGTTATCCTATTTTTAGCATTATGTGGCTTAAACAAAGCAAGGAGGCTCCCATTACTGAATCTGTGCTCTGAGCAAAGCCACAGCTGAACTGTGAGGTGCCTTTGGACAGAGATACCAAACTGTGAGTCACCAGCTTGAGGTGGAGAAGAGAACAATCAGAAAGTCAGTCTGAGAGCCCTGGGGTGAACAAAGCTCTTATTTGCTGTGGTGTTCAGACAGGCACTGCAAGATCTGCCCCTCTATTTTAACGTTGTCCTGGCAAGACTGGTCTTAAGGCCACGAGCTATGACTGAGCTCCTCGAGTAGTGACATTTTCACCAAGGAACAGAAACACCTAATCTGTAGTGAAATTCATCAAGAAATTTATATCCTTCTATGGGAAAGATGTGGAAAAAAAAAATCCCCATGAATCCCCCTTGTATTTGCCAGTTCCCAAACTGCTGGTGGGTGCCTGATGGAGCTGCAGGGATCCCTGCCTGCATCCTCAAGGATGCTCACATCCTCACAAGCTCACCTGCCAGCATTCCATTTGGCCCCTCTCCTGTCACCTTGTTCTTCTAAGCCTCCTGATATTTACATTCCTGTAATGGAGTTTCTCACGCACTTTGATGTAAATAATTATTGTTTTTACATTCCTCTCTGGAGGAGGAGAAATTTGATAGACTACTGTTGGTTTGTCCAGTGCCATTGGAGAAGTGGCACTTTTATCCTCCAATCCACTGGCACTTTGGAAAGTCTATAAATGTTAGAGTCAAGAAATAAACCACCCTTCTTCTTCCTTTGCTGGTCCACCTACTTTTGTTTTGTGTTGTATTGCTACTCTCCTACTGCATGAGCTGTATCACGAGCATAGATATGTATTAATATGCATTTCCCCCCTTCCCAACGGAGGGCTTTTTCCCCCCTTTAAAGCGATTATGCTGATGCGCTCCCCGTGCCGCCGGGAGGTGACAGCTCCGCGCGGCTCCGCGGCGCTCAGAGCTCGCCGAGGTCATCGCTGCAGAGCACGGTGACACTGATGTGTCCCGGCACCTCGGCCGCTTCCCCGCCGCCCCTGGCCCGCAGCTTCAGCCTCTGCTGCTCGCGGGGCTCGCCGGGGGACGCTGCCAGCAGCGCCTGCCCCAGGAAGCGGTCGCGCAGGAGGCTGGAGTTCCACACCTGGCGACCAGGGGACACAAAGAACGCGGTGAGCCAGCGCTGCCGGGAAGGGTCAGCCCCCATAACCCTTTGGAAAAGTGCGCGTCTAAATTTAGCTAATTGTCTGGAGAGCTTGAGGGAGAGTCTGGATTTGCATGCTCATTTACATAGACTATGCAAATAAGGAGAGAAATGCGGCTTTTTGCTTTCTAGGTCAGAGCCTGCCTAGGAGAGGAATAAAAATGACCTTTTTTAGCTCATCAGCAGTAAAACCTACCTACAGTAGGCTGTCTGCTGCTCTGCCTGCCTGTGCTCACCTCTGCACCTCCTCAGTGCTAGAGTTTGAGAGCCTGGCCCACAGACTAGGCTGAGGACTAAGATTTCCTGGACTGCATCATCACAATGCCAGGCTCTACTTCTCCAGTTACTGCTGAGGTAAACAGTGAGGTCTAGTTCTCACAGGACTAGAATTCAGGGTAGAAAACTTCTTAATAACAGCCTTAACATTGGGTTTGTTTCAAACACTGACTCTGGACAGCACTTGGCTTTTCTTTGTCTTTGTTTCATCAGGTACGACATGGGGCAAAACGAATTCTGTAAATTCCTTCAAAGCCTTGGAATGAAACATTCCTTGGAAAGAAATATGCATTGGAATTAAACATTCCTTGGAATGAAGTATTCCTTGTGATCCCCCAGTGCCATCAGCTGGTGTTTGTGGAGCAGAAGCAGCAGCAGAGCTCCAGGCAGAGCCCAGCAAGGGGAGCAGAGGCTCTCACTCTTCTCTCCTGGGTCACACAAAGGAGCAGCTGGCCCAGTGAAGCCCAGGGCTGCTGCTGTGCTGCCCTCCCTGCCCTGAGCAGCTGTCCTGCGGCTGTCTCACCTGGATGGTGACAGGACTGTCGATGTCCTTCCTGTAGAAGATCACCTGGGTGTTGAAGACGGGGTTGGTGGTGTTGTGCTGCACCGGGGAGCGCCAGCTTTGGTTCTCACACTTGATGAGCACGTAGGGATCTGCTCCTGGAACACAATCAGCAGCACAGCTCTGGGCACACAGAATGGCAGCTGAGAGCTGCCCAGAAACCCAGCAGAGCCAATCCCCTCCTGTGCCTGGCAGCACCACAGGACAGGGCACCAGAGCACATCACAGCCACTGCTCCCTGTCCAGGTGAAAACACAGAACCATGGAATGGTTTGGGTTGGAAGGACCTTAAAGCCCATCCAATTCCACCCCTGCCATGGCCAGGGACACCTTCAACTGTCCCAGGTTGCTCCAAGCCCCATCCAGCCTGGCCTTGGGCACTGCCAGGAATCCAGGGGCAGCCACAGCTGCTCTGGGCACCCTGTGCCAGGGTCTCCCCACCCTCACAGGGAACAATTTTTCCCTAATATCCAATCTAACCCTCATATATGACCCCCTGCAATTGTTCAACATTCTAGAAATGCCTTGTTTTTACACTGAGTATTTTTATTTCTTACTAAAGTTGATATTCTCTTTCCTTTACAATAAGGAGCAAGAACCATTTTGGAAACACCAAGCACATTCAAATAGAATGGGCCATTTCATCTTCTAATTAACTTTTAATTAAACAAAGGCAATACCATGTTTTGTATTTCAACATAACTCTGTCCATTTCTGTTGTTAATGACAGAATACCTTTTTTTTTTTTTTTCCACACCTTGCAACTTCTTAGATACAGATTATAAATAAACCCAGGGTATCTGTAAGTCAGGCTCATGAGAGTTTCTAACACACTTTATTTCACCATCTACTTGAAAATACCATTGCAGCCAGAAGGCAGCACAATTTTAGGCAACTTCAGCTTTTTAACAAACCATATCCAGATGATCTCCCTCAAACTCATCACTCATTTATCAACACGACCAGGTACCAACACGAACAAACCACATAACAGCTGCATCCAAGGCAGACACAGAATTTTCCATATGTTGCTCTGTGGTTTACACCTGGCCAGAGCTGTTTCCCTGACAACCCCTCACAGCTCCATGGCAGGTAGCAGGATATTGGCTTTTCTGATGGGCAATTGCCTTCTGTGTCACTGAACTGTGAATTCAGCTCTGGGGCACGGGGTAGCACCAGGCTGTGTCACCAGGGCTGGAAAAACTGCCTTCCTTGCAAAGCAATTTGGAAAATGGATCTGGATAAAACGGGGTCCTGCCTGTCACCCCAATGGTGTTAACAGCTTTGTCCGAGGGCAAAGAGCAGAGCAACACCCGACAATTAACAGTAATTAAGAGATAAAGAGCATAAGGAGGGGTGGGGAAAGGGCACAGAGCTAAAGAGGTGACAGGCACATCTGCTGGATGGATGAGGGAGCAGTTAATGAGGGGATTGGCAAAGTGAAGGGAAAAAGAAAGAAAATATCTGAAGGAAACATTCACATTCTCAGCAAGACCTCACAGAGGGAGGTAGAAGGGGGACACAAAATGTTCCTGTAGCCATGATGCTCCAAAATGTTCTGACCCCGTGATGGCAGTGCTGGATGGGACAGTTGTTTTAGGAAAACTGGCTCCAATTCCACAACAAAAGCAAGCAGTGGAAGAGCACACGTGGGATCAAATGTTCTCAGCTATGGATGGCCCAGTTCTGTGCCTGGTTTATTTACAGGACAAAGAAAAAACACCAAGGTCTGCTAGAGTGGAAAAGCAACGTCCTGGTATTGGCCATGAGGTGGGAATGAAACTGGAGCTGCTGTTTAGGAGACAGCTCTGGCAGTGGAAGGAGGGCTGGGTTCAGCTCTGGGGCACACAGATGGCTCCAGCTCTGCCCTGAACCCCATGGCAGCTCTCCTACCTCAGTCCCGGCCATGCTGCTGCTTTGGGAAGTTGTACAAAACAACAGTGCAAAGGAAAAAGTTGGAATCTGTAAAAGCCAGAAACACCTGAACAGTAATGGCATTTCTAAGGCTTAAAGAAATCTGGGCTCAGTAGTCTAAGGCTTAATTTTTGGGTTTTTGAGAAGTGCTCCAAGGATCTAACACCCACACCCTGCAGCACTGTACCCAAGCAAAAGGAGTTCATGAAAACATTCCTGAGGGAACATTGCCAGCTGCATTCCCACTCCTCTCTGCTGCTCTTCCCAGAACCTGGAGAGCTCTGACAGCCTCAGCCACTGCAAAAGGGCATGGCACAAACAGCAGGAACAGTGCTGAGACACAAGCACTGCCCTGGCAATCACAGCAGGCTGTTTTGCCTCTTGCAGGTGAATCTCTGCTTCTCCTTCCTTCTGCTTCTCAGGCTGCTCCCAAGGCAGCTCCCACTAAAGAGTCTCTGCTTCCAGGGCTGTCACACACCACAGATCTCAACACTCAGTTCATGTTCTAAGTGGTGAAAAACAATTCAATGTGCAAATCCAACGTGGAACGTCAGCAGGAAGACTTAAAAGTGCAAAAGGTGATTTGTTCTCAAAGAGAAACCCAGGGAAAAGGCCTGACAGACAGTAGTGTGTCGCAGACATCTTTCATGAAAAATCCTTTCTTAGGATTTTTCCTTGTGAGAAGCTGCAGTGTCAGCAACCAAAGTAAACAGTGGTTATCTGCTGCTGTGGAATGCAACAGGTAGACCCATGATTGGTCTCCTGTGGATGTTTGGATTTCTTGACCACTCATGGCAGAGCTGGCTCTTGCTCTGGCTGAGACACAGATCTTTGTTATTCATTCTTTTCTATTCTTAGCTTAGCTAGCTTCTCAAGAAACTTTTTCCTTTCTATTGCCTTTTAGTATAGTCTAATGTAACATATATCATAAAATAATAAATCAAGCCTTCTGATCATGGAGTCAACATTCTTGTCTCTTCTTCATCCTGAAAACCCTTGTGACCACAGTCACAGTAGTGAGAGCCATTTTAAAACCAGGCTGGGAAATGAGTGACAGAAAATCCTCTAGCACAGAGTTTCCTCATCATCCTGCAGACCTGCTACTGTGCCTGGCTCACAGACAGCTGGATCCACTTCAGAACACACTGACTTGGAGAGAGGCACTTCCACAAGGAGCATCCAGGACTGAGTCTGGAATCATCCGCTATTCTTGACAACAGCAAACCATCCATTACCTTGTCCAGACAGAGCAATGGATCAAAGACAGCATCAAGGAGGAGCTTTCCAATAAACGTTTAAAATAAAAATAAAATAAATTTCCTCTGGCCTGGAACAGGGCTCTAATAACAACCAGCACTGAGCTGTGAAAAATGAAGGCTACCAGAAAATTAAAAAGCTAATGACAACTGGACAAGTTTCCTAATTAATCCAACATCAGGTGCTATAAAAGCATTTTGGTGTCCTTCAGGACACTTCCTCTGACAGACACACAGTTCTATATAAAGCATTTAACCCCTGTTCTACCTTACCCAGCTGAAAATGATTGTTTGAAAACCAAAAATTCCTCCCTGAAGTGCTCTAATGAGGTAAATGTAACACACTACATGAGTCTGAGCCATTCAGCTGCCTCCTGGATATTTTCCATTTAGAAAATACACAGGCCTGACAGAAGAACCTTACTAATCCCCACAATTAGCTCCTCAGGAGGGTCTGGCTACTCCTGCCCATCCTGACCAGTTATGGACCTGCCCATAACTTGCTGTTGTGCATCCCCATATCCATCTGATCTCTCCTCTGGAGCAGGTTTTACAGTTTTTACAGCAAGATGGAAAAACAAATCCCATAAATCATCTTTGGATAATTTCTGGTTGCTTACATATCAACCCAAATCATCTTTAGAAGACTGAAAGCCAATTCCACTCCTCCAGACTCTCTTTCCACTTACCTCCTGATCTGTCTTGTTTCTGCAAACCCTCTGCAGAGTGGACTTTGATTTGGGTGACTCTGCGTGGGTAGCCACAAAGAAGACTCCAACACGTCATTTTAGGCCTATCCGCCTCCAGCTCCCTGAAAAATCATGGAAAAAGCAACCTAAGCAAAGAATGTCAAGCAAACAATCAATGGTTGTAGAAATCTGGCATTTTTAGAACATGAGATTTGTAGTTTTTCCTCATCTGCCGTTTTTGAATTCTGTGGTGCAGAAATGACAGATGTAAGAAATAAAAATAGAGCAAAGCAAAGTCAAACAAATTTGTGTTATCTTTTGCGTGAAAGCAAAAGCGGTGAAAAAAACCCCAATTTTAAATAGTGGAAAATACTATCAAATCAAGAAATAAATACAGTGAGCCTGATTCATGAAGCACTGGTTCTACTCTTGCAGCAACCACTGCTTTCAGAGGAGATGGCCACAGGAACAACAACTATCACTGTAATCACAAGCACCAGTGCTCGGGGTCCTGACCTGAAACTGGGGGCCACTACAAGAACTGAAGTAAAAAAGCCAAAAGACTCAAAGGGAATCATCCAAGATGCCCTTAACTAAACATTTCCTGACCATGCAGGATAAAAACAAGAGCAGGCTCCCGGTGCTAAGGTGATTTCAGCATTTCTTGTAAGAAAAGGAAAGGCCCAAAGCAAGGGGGCCCCGGGCCGAGCAGGAGCGTTCCCGTCGAGGATGCTGCAGCGCCGGTGCTGGGGCTGCTCAGCAGCGATGGCCCCGATGGCCCAGATGGAGCAGCACAGATTCAGTGGGTCAGAAGCCCCTTTTGATCCTGGTTTTTGTCCCTTTGGATTGGTTTCTTTTTGGATCCTTCATTTGCATGAAGGTTTAAGGCGCTGGATTGGCCATGACAGTTGTGTCCAGGCTGGCTCGTGGTGCACTTTACTGAGGTGTGTTCTGGTACCTTGAGTACCGGATTTCTTATAACTACCCTTTTAACCCCTTTTACAATATAACATCCAAACTAACAGTACATGCTTAACGATCTATCAACTATTTTACAACAGTTTCTAACCTTTTTTTAACAATGTACAAACCTGGATGTTCTCAGAGGTGCTCCTGATGTCTCCAGGGCCCAGTTCTGGAGCCACATGAGCCAGTGAGTTGCAGGACAACCTGGCAACCCCTCCCATGGAACTGCAGCCTGTGGGCTAAGAAGGATCTCCTGCAGCTGTGAGTGGCACCCACCTGAGTTTTGAGGGCACATCTGTGTAGAGCCTGAGGATGAATTTTGTGGGGACACCTGGGGTGTAGGTGGTGGGGACCAGGACGTAGCGGCCTTGCTGCAGGGTCCTCCTCAGGAACACGCTGCGTGTGTTCGAGTAGGGAGAGGTGGCCACTCTCTCCTGCACCGTCAGCTTGTGCAGCCTGTACCTCCTGTTGTCCTCCACCTGCAGCAGGAGAGGGGTTAGGGACAGCAGGGCTGAGGGCAGGGCTCTCCCTGAGCACCACACAGCTTTTCACCCAACAAGGCAAATAGTTTGGGAAGTGTTTTCTCATCCAGTTAAGCTGTGGCAGGTGAAAGTTTGGGGCTGGCAAAGACAGGAGCCCACTGAAAGAGATGATGTGATGCTGCTGCAGAGCTTGGAACACTTCCAGAGATGGACACACAGCCCAAAGACAAGGCTGAGATCCCATGGGAAGAGGTTTTACAGAGACTTCTGTGAGCCAGAGAGAAGTTTGATAAGAGAATCCATGTTTGATAAGAGGATCCATGTTATCCCTAAAAGAATTTTCTACCAAGGTCCTTGACATAGAAACCAAGAAAGAAAGAAAGAAAGAAGAGAAACCTGCAACTGCCTATTCCAATGAGCACTTTGTTTGTCTCTCATGACCAATGAGTAAACTGTAAACTGATGAGTTTTGTTAGAATGTATAAAAAGCATGCATGCTATTAAAAAAAACAGTTTGAAGCCTTCTGAAAATGGAGTGTTGCTTTGTCTTGTGACCATCTCAACTATGGCAAGATCCTTCTGCCTCCCTTCTCTGGCCTTTCACAGCAGGCTCCCAATCCAGATGCACACAGCTGGGTTTCCCTTCCCCTTTCCTGAATACAAAAGCCACAGAATAACCATGCATGTTTTCTTCTAAGCCTTGAAGTTGTGCTTAACTCTTAACATCCTCCCCAGAGCACTGGTATTGCCAGTTTAAATCTAAACCTCTCTCTCAAGCAGCTCTTGAGCAAAGGCAGCCCTTCTTTCTTTTCTGGCAGCTCTCTTCCCAAGGCCTTTAGTCATGCTAATAAGCCTGGTGTGTTAGAATATATCTAAAATAGAAAAATTATTGATTAGAAATAAAAATAGAGTACTGAAGCTTTTAGAAAGGTGTGATTTTCTTTTTCAAGCCTTTCCAAATTACAGACACGAACAAGGGAAATTATTCTGCTTCCTGCAACAACACTTTTCAATATATGTGGTTAACAGGTGATTGGCAAATGAGTAGGTGTGATGCAGATGTCAGCAGATCTAACCAACTGTTAAAAATTGACTTTTTTTTAGGGTAGGGCCATAGATTTAATGTAGTCCCAGGAGCTGTAGCAACACATGACAGGATTACCCCAATCCTCAGTGAAAGAGTAGAAAAATTGCTGTTTCTTTGCTTCCCTCCTCTGAGTTTGAGTGTTTTCATTTTACTCAATTTGCCTTGAGAGTGCAATTAAATTACCTTTTGGGATCCCTGTGGTTCCTTTTCCCATATATTCATTTCCTGCTCACCAGTCCAGTTTTTGAAAAGACTTTTTTTCTAAGGGGCAACAGAAAAACTGCAGACTTTTCAACCTTGTTCTCCTGGCTGTATTTGCTGGTGAAATGGAGGCAGAAGAAGGAGAAAAACCCTGCATGTTTTAAGTATTTTTAAGTATTAATATAATTTTGCCTTTCTCTAGAAAGTTTTGGGAAACACTTAAAATTCTTTTGCAAGGCATAAAATTTATTTATCTCTAATAAATGAAATTTATTCAAGTAGAGTTTGAGCTGAACTAAAATCAGTTGAGTTCCCAGGCCAGAGTGCAGTGCCCACACAAAGTTTGAGCACAGAGCCAGACCCCAGGATAATCCTGATATATTATCTAAAAGATCCATTTTCAAAGTAGTAACTACCAGAGTGAGTGCCCAGACCCCACAGAGAGTAACAGAAGTTATAGGTCTGAATTTGCATGTGCTGGGAGAGAGAAGGGCAGGAAGGTGGGAAAGGGAGCAGGAATGGATGAACAGATCACTGATTATCCAGATCTATCTATCTAGAGATGATCTCTAGCTGCCAAAGATCTCACTGTCAGGGAGAAGCAGGACTGAGCAAACTGACCAAGCTCTGCACCAGGAGCACAGCTGGCTGCCTACCTTGAGGATTTCAAAGCCAATTGTGATGTTGTCTCCTTTCCCTTCTTTCTTGTACTTGCGGCGATCCTCCTGCTGTAAGGACACCAGCACTTTGTCCTGGGCCTTCTTAATATCAAAGAGGTACTGGGAGGAGAGAGGAGAGAGAAAAGCTGTTGGAATTTTACCCTCAGGAGGCTGAGGGTAAAGCCATCACCAAGGAAATATGTTATCTTAGGTTGGAAATGGGGGTGTGTGTGTCCTGTCCAATCTATCAGAGCTGGGGCAGTTCTGTTCATGGGACAGTTTTTTCTTTATCTCTCCCACATCCACTCCTCCCTCCAGGAGATCTCTGCTGTCCATGGGCCATTAATTATTAATTATCTTCTGTCCATGGGCCATTAATTATTACTTATCTTCTGTCCATGGCCAAGGAGTCCATGTCCATGGCCTGCATGGCTGATCCAATCCCAGCATCCCATGGGGAGATGCTGCATTGCCCAGGGGAGGAGCCAAGCATTCCTACCTGGATCCAATCTGAGCTTTGGGACAGCCCAGCAGCCTTTGCCCAGTGCATTGCCAGAGGAGCAGCTTCTGCTGCCCTGCATGGCCAGAGGGAGCCCAGGCCCAACTGCAGCAGCCCTGGAGCTGCAGAGGAAAACTCCCCCCTTGTGCAGGATCCCTGCTCCAGCAGAGCCACAGCTGGCACTGCAGGAGGGCTGAGCCCCCATGGGATGGGGCTGTGCCACCCCCCTGACACACCCTGCTCTCACTCTGGCAGTTTGGGGTTGTTTTGTATTATTGCATTGTTTATTTTATTTTTAAAATTTTCTTCCCTAGTAAAGAACTGTTATTCCTGCTCCCATATCTTTGCCTGAGAGCCTCTTAATTTCAAAATTATAACAATTTGGAGGGAGGGGTTTACATTTTCCATTTCAGGGGAGGCTCCTGCCTTCCTAAGCAGACACCTGGCTTTTCAAAATAGGACATATGTTTATACAAAGGAGACAAATGGAAGTACATTTGAGGGAAGAAGGAGAGTTCTCCATGGAGCAGATGTTCCCAGCAATGCATAGCTGGAAAATGAATGCTAATAATAAGGATCTCAAAATCAAAAGTATCAAGTAAATAAATCTTACTAAATCTGACTTGAACAGTTACATTACTAAAAATCACTACCAGTTCATAAGTATGAACAAAAGGTCAGACAGATATTTCTTTATATGATAAGGAATTTAATTAATTTGTTCATTATTCAAGAGTCCTTTAAATTTTGCTTTGAGCATGCAGAGAGCAAACCTGAGTTGTCAGGACCAGAGGAGGGAAGAGGACATTATTTACCCCAAGTTTGAACAGATGCTGTACTCTCCCATCCTCAAAGACTTTTAAATGTGAAGAAAATAAATAAAAACATAAACCTGTAGCAGTGCACAGCTGGGTACCATGTGCACCACATGTTCTGATTTAAGCAGAAATTCCCTGGCAGCATGGAGAGGAATACCATCAGTGGTTCAATTCCCTCCTCCCTCTTCCTTTGACTGCTGCTAAAAACCAAATTATTGAGCTTTGCTCCGAGGTAGGTATTGAGAGTGCCTTGGTTACAGAACCATCTGCCTTGGAGCTCTGCTGGGCAAGGTCCCATCCCAAGCTGTGATTTGTGTTTTATATCCCTTACTGCAGCACAGAAAGCACAGGGCCCTGGGAGAGTCCCAGGGGTTGTAAGAGAACCTAAAAAGTGAGATATAAAGATGCAGCAATACCCAGTAAGGCACATTTGAATCCCTGAGCCATACACAGGTTGCCTCCCCAGGCAGCCCAGGGTGCTCCAAGGCCATGGAGGGGTGGAAGGACAACAAGTGGAACCAGGAAAGTTCTCCTGCTGTGGTGACAGCTCTGCAACTGTGACCTTCTTCTGATGGTACCTCAGAAGGCAATGATCTAGAAGTCAGTAGGTGACTGTAGAATACACAAATACTTGGCTGAAATTGCCTTATCAAAGGGACTGGAAGTGGCCCAATCCCTCTCTGCACAGATAAACCTCCCAGGAGGCCTCAGTGCCAGGAGAACAGAGAGATTATCTCTAGATTATGGTGGGGTGTGCCACAATAACCTGTAATGGCCCTAAGATAACAGAAATGTGTTCCAGCACTGCTGCTAAGAGCCTTTTAATCAACTGGCCCAGAGATAACACTGGAATACAGAGGCCTTCCACTGCATCAGGCATTGCACTCAGCTGGAACTGTGCATGTTGTTCTCTGTGACAGCTAAACACTTACAAATGAGACCAGACAAGCTCTTGGAACACATCCAGCATCTCACAGAATTAATACCTGAATTACTTCAGCCCCTGGAAATGAGGCACTGACAGAAGGCAGAGCAGTGAGGAACTGCAGGATGAGCTGGGAAGCTGAGATGTGATGTGAGCAGCAGAGGCTGCACTGCTGCAGCATCCTGCTCTGAAAACACAGGCTGCAGGCAGAAACCTCCCTTGCAAGGGCACAGAAGCAGATTCAAAAATATCTTTAATTAATCTGGACAGAAAGATCCATTTTCAAAGCAGTAACTACCAGAGTAAGTGCCAGACCCCACAGAGAGTAACAGAAATGCTATATCTGAATTTGCATGTGCTGGGAGAGAGAAAGGCAGGAAGGTGGGAAAGGGAGCAGGAATGGATGAACAGATAAACTGAATAGCTTGAAATGACCAGGTAGGATCAGACAAGGAAAATTCCATAATGCTGATGAGAGGGTGAGCTTGGGGAAGAGAGCAGGTACTTCCAGAATCTGACATTAATGCCAAGGGATACTAACTAAATACACTGGATCAAATCCCTGAGCTGTTTAAGGGGGTTAAGTGAGTTCTGTCTATAGAAAATCAGACTTGCTGCCTTTCTATGACTGGGAAAATGAAAGAAGTCCAGGCGGGATGTCAGTAATTCTGTTGTGTGTGTGACTCAGCAGCCCCAAGCATGATCAGTCCTAAATAAATATAAAAACCCTTCTGAGAAATTGCACCAAAACATGCAGCACACAGCACACCCCCAGGACAACGAGTTCTTTTGTTTTGTAGTCACTGCCAACTCCTAAACAGGGTGGGTACTTCAGGAGCCCCAGCTAAAGTGGGTACACTTGAATACCTCACAAAACTTCCCACCTGGGGGTTCTGCAGGAAGGTCTCTCTGTTATCAAACACCTCACAAAACACCGGGGTTCCCACCTGGGGGTTCTGCAGGAAGGTCTCTTTTATCAAACACCTCGCAAAACACAGGGGTTCCCACCTGGGGGTTCTGCAGGAAGGTCTCTGGTATCAAATACCTCACAAAACACAGGGGTTCCCACCTGGGGGTTCTGCAGGAAGGTCTCTCTGTTATCAAAGCAGCCCCCAGATCGGTTCAGCAGGGGCTCTGGATGCTTTGCCCAAGCCCCATACATCATTTCCTTCTCCCAGGTCTTGTGGAGGCTGAAGCAGGAGGTGTTCACAGTCCTGCAGATGTCCACATCTGTGAAATTCTTACACCAGTCCTCAAACGTCATCCTGCTCCAGGGAACACCAGGGAAGTAATGGTTTGTTTCAAAATAAACAGTGATATTCATGCATAAGAGCCAAAACAAAACAAAATCTTCCAGTAATTTGAAGAGGAGGCATTGCTCAGCTGTCCAGGGGACAAACTGATTCACTGGAAAGCTTTCCATGTGGAAATACTTGTGAAACCACAATGACAGAGTTTTAATTCAGAGCAGCATCACTCAGTGTGTTTGGTCAGATCAGGATCTGTCCTGTTGCATCTCCTAAGCCTAAAGCACTGCTTGAACCTCCCAGGCTGGATTTGATAACACATCTTGCAAAGGCCAAAGAGATCACCTGCAATTAAAGCAGGATCCACTCATCACTATTGCAGTCCTTATTGTCACATCTGTCCCTGAGCACAACTCCAACCTCTGCCCTCTGGACAGAGCTTTTCTTTAACCCCATCTCAGCTGTGCCTGCTCAAGGAATGGCTGGACTGCAGAGCAACACCAGCAAAAACAGCTTAGCTCTGTGAGTAACCATCATGTCCTGGCTTATTCATGGCCCAGAGCCAAAGCCTGCAGCTGCCAGTGCTGACAAAGCCAACAGAATGATTTTCACTGTGAGCCCTGCCAGCTCACTCGATGCAATATTGATCATCTCCTGAAGGACCTGCTGGGCTAAGGATCTAAGCTTTAAGCAAGGTCAAAATTAATAGAGCTCTAGACATTGGATAGAGAATGAACACTTGGAAAACACCAACAAATATCAAAATTTACTGGATGCAACTCTATTTTTAGATGCCTCAGCCATGGCTGACCTACAGACAGGCATAGTACTCAGTTAACAGGGTGTGAAATGCTCATGGTACTTCCTCAGATATTTTTGCCCATTTCAAAATTTAACTGGTCTAAACAATGTTCAGTGTTGGGCATCGTGTCATGTAAACCAGCACATGCTCTCCTGGTTTCTGAGAGATTATCCTAAATATAGGCAATAGATTCTGAGAGCTACTAATTTGGTTCTCCTACTTTTAAATCCATTTTTATTATTCTTCCCTGTCATCCCTTGGGAGTTTGAAAGAAACAGACCTTGGGATAACTTTACCCATCTGTTTTTGAAGCTGTTAAGTGGCAGATTAATGACAGTTACTCAGTGTAGCCAGTGTCTCCAAACCCTTCTCATCACTCCCACTCACCAGAACTCTCCATCGTTCTCAACAGTGAGCCCCAAATTCTTGCGCTCAGAATCGCTGACTTTCTTCCACTCTTTAGAGCTAAAAGGAAATAATTTAAAAAAAAGAGGAAAAAAATCAACAATAAAGATGACTAATAATTTAAAATAAAAATTTCCTCACCTGGAAAAAAAAATTGAAGCAAAAATCTCTCCTGCTCTGTGGTTTTAAAAAGAATATCAGGGTACTGAAAGGGCAGATGATATTGATGAAAGTGTGAGGCTTTCAGGAGGGGTTTTAAAACATTAATTGATTTGAAAGCTATAAGGAAGAAAGAGATTAATAGGAAATAGGCTCAACTAGAGCAGAACTTTATTGATTTCCTTTGTCACACCCTCCATTAGGACTCTTAAACACTTAAACAGCTGGTTTCCAAGGTCACAGGAGATTGACTCCATTCCCTGAAGGCCCCTCAAATGAAACCTGGTTTTCCTCCTCGGGAGCTTATTGAACGCTTCACTTAGACCAGAGTATTCTCTTTGTCTTTTAATCACCTTAATAAAACAGGCCTGAGGTCTGAGATTTCCCTGGGGGCCTTTGAGCAGAAGCTGCTGGAGCCTGGGCACAGTGTCCAGTGTGCAGAGGGATATTCCAGTGCACAGACCCTTCAGGCACACAGCCCCTGCTGCTGCAGGGGAGCACAGACCCTAAATTCCAGCAGCCTCCTGCTAAAACCCAAAACAGACCCTGGTCCTGATGGGTTACACCAGACAAACAGAGCCACAACTCCCCCCTGCCCCTCCAAAAGCACCTGGAGGCTAAAGCTGAAGGAGGCTGGAAGGAGGCAAGGGAGGATTCTCACCCTAACAGCCATTTTCTTAACCTCTTTGGAAATTGTCAATTTAATTCTGCTAGACCAAAAGCCATGGGCCACCCTCAGAGTGCTCAGTGAGTGGCAGCTGTGCCAGGCTACTGGAGAACCCGAAGGGCTTCAGCTAAACAAGACACAGCAGCTCTTTTGTGCATTCTCTGCATTTCACCCAGACCAATCTCGCTGGAAGTAGTAGAGTTTTGCTAGCTAAAGCATAGATTATAAGAAATTAATATGCTGCTGCTGAGAACAGTGCAATGTTAAATGTTAAATACTAAATACTAGCTGCTGAGCCCAGTGCTGAACTGTCACATATTTTTCATGTATAAATCACCCATGATGGGAGACATCCCCTCCAGCAACCATTTCTCTTGCTGTGGAGGCACCTGCTAAGCCCATGGCCCACAAGAAAATTCATTAGAAAGTTAATTAGAAAGAAACCACAAATATGGCACATTTACAGCATTTTTCACCAGTCACTTAAATTATCTACAAGACTTTTACCATCCTTAGCAGCTGGAAATGACAGGTGAGAAACTGAGTCACAGACACGCTCGGTGGTGAAGCTGGGAACAAGCCTTGTGTTCTTGACTCCTGAGCTATTTTTCTTCCCATGTTCCACAAGAATGATGTAAACAGTAAATAAGGTCCAGGGAGCCATAGACTCCTCCAAAACATGCTCATTTTCTCAGAGGAAAATGGGCAGAGATGGCAAAGAGTCCCAGCCATCTCAGAGCATCAGTGTGTCCCACCAGTGTTTACCCACAAATTGCAGTACCCCAGTGTAGAGAGCTTTTTGGATAATTGGTTAGCTGAGAAAGGCCATTTTGATGTGATACCGATGGATAAGGATAGGGGAAACAAGCTGGGGATTATGTAACCGGTGTCCAATCACTGACAAAGGTCACAGTGACCTTTGCTGAAATGGGAAGATGGGGGAGAAAATTGCTTGCCAGAAAATGAAGATATCCTAGGTAGAGAAGCTAGAAGAATGCAAACATAGAAACAAAATAATCATTAGAGCATAGAAGTAGGTGTGGTTGATCCAAGTGTGCTTTAACCAATAATGAGCTCAGCTTTTGCAATATGTATAAGCTTCATTAACACCAATATAAATATGTGTGAGCTTTCAATAAACTTTGAGATTTGCAATTCACGCATATTGTGTGAGGCATTTCTTCCGCCGTTCACGACACCCCAGCACAGCTTCACCCTTTGAAGGTGGAGCTCTTCAGCTCTTACCTGTCACTCCAAGCACCGTGCCATTCCTTCTTGCCCCAGGGATTCCTCAGCCTGACCATGAACATCTTTTCTGCCTTGAAGGAGAGCACCAGGCTGTCCCCAAGGCGCAGCTTCCTGATGGCAGTCACGGAGTAGGCATGGCCCACGATCAGCCCCATCGCTGTCTCTGCTTCACTGGGCCGCCCAGGGGACTCCTTGGGCACGAAAAATGACAATTGAACAAAAAGAACTCACATCTCTGGGGAACCTGATGTGCCAGCAGCTCTCTGGCCACACAGAGAAACAGACAACTTTCCCAGGCATCATTCTGGGAAAGGCTGTGAGAGGATCAGAGAAAAGAATGAGAAACAATTCTTATCTTCACTTGCTGACCTGGTGTTGTGCACATGTGGAATGTGTTATGGAGATTTGGTCAAGCAAACAGCCCCTGCAGGCTGTGGTTTCTTAATTAGCCAATGGTGATGGTGTTTTAATTAAAGGACCAATTAGGTCCACTTGTAGCGAACTAGGGTATAAAAATATGGGTTTCTAAATAAAGAAATTATCAGCCTTCTGAAATACATGGAGTCTATATCAATTATTACCTGGCTGGGGACCTGTTGTGCTGGCAACCTGACAGCTCTGTGTTCAAGGGGAAGGACAAGAAAAATTTTGCATTCTCTTCCTGAGTGATTTTACTGTGCATAATAATAACAGCACTGGGAATCAGAACTGGGAGCTCACTGGTGTGGTGTTGTTAGTGCCAGACAATCCCAGGGCACAGGGGAATCCTGCCTGCTGCAGCCAGTCTGTCTCCTCCAGGCCTCAGAGTTAGGGACAAGGCTGATGGAAAATCAACCCTCCCAAAATGTTGGCATCTCTACCAAATGGCTTTTCTGGACACTGATGGCTGTGCCCAGACTGTCTGGGGTGTCCTCAGCTGGGCACTCATGAGTTTAGCTGCTGGTCCAATGGTTGTTCTTGTGTTGGAATAAATTAATAAGTTAATAGGAAGAACTACTGCCAGTGGGTAAAAATGGGAGAGCACAGGCACAAGTGAAAAAGCTTCTAAGCCACTTGTGTCCTGTACCTCCCTCACTCCTGGCAGGGCTCTCTTACATGGGAGGGAAGATCTGTAGGATGCTTTAGGAACTGGGTTTGCTTATCATAAACTCCACATAAAAATCCCAGTTTCCAGCAGCGATCAGGCTGTTCCTAAACTGTCCCTAAACTAACCCTAAACTGTCCTGTTTGATGCTCTAGGCCTGATCAGATGCTGATCTAAGAATACATAAACATAGTCAAGCTCTGAAAAATAGCACAATTTCATTTAATGCATCCAAATCTCCTGACCTAAACCCAGAAAAGCAGCACCATACAAAGATGTTTGAGGTGTTTTGATGGTCCTGGATCCAGATTCTCCTCACCTTCACTGAATCCAGCCAAGCCATCCTTGAGTCTCTCTCATCTATCACCCACAGGGCCTAGAAACACTCATTCCCTTGGACATCAAGGAAGGAAGATTTGACTCAGTGCAGATCCTTGTGTGTAAACTTGTAATTACCTAATTAATGCTCAATCAAGCCTTGGCTGGGGTGCAGACAGCAAGAGGTGTGGTCTCTTGGTGTTACTAATGCAAATATTTAAATAGAAATATGTTTTTATAATTAGACATGAATAGATTAGTATAAATATATGAATATTTAAATATAAATAAGGACTTACCACAAGTGTGAAATGCACATAGTATTTCCTCAGATATTTTTACCCATTTCAAAATTTAACTGGTCTAAACAGACAAGGTCCTTGTCCTGAGGCAAATGTTGCACTGATACAACAGTGCTCAGCCCCAAAGGTAAGAAATCACATAAAAAGAAAAAAAAAAAAAAAAAAAAAAAAAGGAGGGGGTGGAAGGAGAAATTCCCATCAAATTGGAACTGACAGATGGGCTGGCAACTGTGAGAGTGTCACCAAGGCCTCTGTGCCTCTCACCGACAGCAGCTCCCAGAGAATCAGCTCAAGTGTTCCCCCAGCCTGGCTGACATCCCCCTGGCTCTGGGCTCCCTCCAGTGTAACACTTGCACTGGCATTTTTCACAACTAAAAGCAAACAAAGAGTCCTTGACAGCACAGGACTCTGTAACTTCTCCTGCTGCCTTTATCACCCCCAGGCTTTTCTCACTGCTGGCCTTTCCCACCTCATTCTGAAGCTACTTATTTATTTCTTTATTCAAATGAGATATTGAAGCATCTCCTGTCTGTTCAGATTTCCAAATGGTGATGCTCAGGGCCATTCTGTAATCCAAAGCAAATGATGACATGTTTGTAAGGCAGCAATGAAGCCACTTGGGTATTAAATATTCTACACCTACCAAGTTCCACTCGGTGTAAATTACATCAAAAAGTGACAAATGCAGGCAAACTCTGTAATCAATGTTTAGAAGCATTTGTGTTTAATGTGGAAGGCAGAAACATAATGCCATGAATCAGTGGAAGCATTACAACTGCCTAATTAATTGCTCTTTAAAATACAGCTCCCCGTGTCCTGGTCAATCACCTCAGTAAATTCTTGTTAACAAACAGAACTGCTCTAGCATTTGGGAGCAGCCTATCATTCTGGAAACAATGTCTGCAGTAACAATTCACACCAGGCAGTCTGCTCTGAGCAAATCAGATGGAATTCTTGCAGATAAAAATTCAGGCCTTATGAAAAAAAAAAAAAAAAAGGGTAAAACAAAACCCAAAGACCTTGAAGCTTTTGTTTCTGAGCTGTTTCCTGATGTTGCTGAAGGGACAGTCCCTGTTCTATCTCAGGGTAAAGTTTGTGTCCCAGAATGTACCAGGTGTATCAAATTCAGGGTGCCCCCAATGTGGGGAATGATTGGCATCGATTCAGAAGGCTGAACAATTCCTTTATTAAAACCATACTATATTACTTAATACTATATTATAACTATACTAAAAAGATACTACACTATGTTAAAGAGATACTAAAGAATACTAAAGAAAAACCCATGACTGTCTGAGGCACCCAGGACACAGCTTTGAGCCAACTGGCCAAGGAATCAAACAAATCCTCAGCAGAATCCAACTGACAAATCCCTTCAGGTAAGCAACCTTCCTAACACATTCCACAACAGGAGCACAGAACAGAGGTAAGAGCTGTTTTCTCTTCCCCTCTCTCACTGCCTTCCCAGGAAAAATGCTGTGTGGATTTGTGAATGTGGAAAAATGCTGTGTGGATTTGTGAATGTGGAAAAATCCTGTGTGGATTTGTGAATGTGGAAAAATGCTGTGTGGATTTGTGAATGTGGAAAATGCTGTGTGGATTTGGGAAAGCTTGTGCCTCCTGCTTTCTGTGAACAGAGCTCAGGCCAGCCCAGGTGTTCCTCTTTGGTGCCAGGCCCTGATGCAGGACCATGCATGGCCAGGGCCAGATCAACAGGTAACTGGGTTTTCAGGAACCCCCAAAACAGCTGATTTTCTGCTGTTCTTGACAATTCCACAACTCTCTTCATACTCACAATTTCTGAGTGAATCATCTTCATTCACAGAGAGGGAAATTAAAGCAAAATGTTTGAGTGATTTAACTAAGATCAGCATCAACTAAGGCCTTAAACTGAAGCAGTGGCCATGGGAGGAAGATGCTGAAGTGCACTTAGATGCCAACCCTGCAGCTCCTAGAAAATGATCCCTTTTCTCTGGGCTGCTGGATTAATGGTTCATGATAAATGATTAAAAAAATCACTTAAAAACAATTTTTAAGGAAATATTCAGGTGCCATTGCAGTTTGTTAGCCCTTCACATGTGGTAACAGCTGTGGACAAGGTGAGGATTCCAGCACTCTCCAGCCAGGGCCTGACATTGCAGACTTGCACAGAAGAGAAGCTCAGTCCAGCTGTCAGTGGTTTTCCTCCTGTGGCCAGGGGCTGGGCCATGGGTGCTTTGTGAAGCACAGAGCATCCTTTGGGAGCTGTTATTCATCCAGGATAACTGTGTTATTCTAGCACAGGACTGGAGAGGGGTAAATCTTCCCCAGAAACCATCCCCTCCCTACTGACCAAGGGAACTTCAGGACCATGGGCTCCTAATGTGGGCACTGAGACACCTGAGCCCCACATGAGCCAGCACAGAAAAGTTCTGCAGGTTAATGCCAGTGGGGACATTATTCAATATATGGACTATATTGAATATATTCAATATCAAATAGCATTACCTGAATAACCAGGTGAGCTCAGCCCTTCAGCTTAGCTCCACTGTTACCCTGGCTGCACTGGCACAATCAAAGTCAAGAGGTCTCAGCAGCTCTGGGCCAGAACTGTTTTCTCTAAAGAGATTTCTCTAAGGAATAAAGCAGTTGAATGCTGCTATCTGCTCTGTAAATTAGGGTGGATTTACCTCAGGTCAATTCACAACTGTGACCATGCAGAAAAAAAGAATTTCAGACACACAGTGAAGTGGCAGCACAAGCAGTTGTGATTGTATTTAGTGGCTCCTGGAGCTGGAAGCACTTGCTAGATTTCTCCATACAAAGCTTTTCCAACCATGCAAAGGAAGGACATACTCAATATCCTAATAATGGTATTTCTTCCAGAATATTTTCATTGAAATAAACCCTTAAAATCCGGCTCTCTGTACTTACCGAAATGGAGCAGCTGATGAAGCCTCCTCTTTTATGCACTTTCATCAAGTCTTCAAACAATTTCATCTGCTCAGAAATAACCTCACCATATTTGCCCTCTTCCAAACTGATGGATTCTGCCACTGCTCCAGTGAAATCCACCAGGGCTTCTGCAGCACAGCCTCCATCCAGGGCTTGGTAGGATCCAGCCAGCCTGGGGGCAACACAGAACGTTCTCAGTTTACAGGGGGCTGGAACAAGTGCTCTAATTTGGCTTGAATGTAGGGAACATGTTTGTGTCTCACTAAGGACAAACCAGAACAGAACAAAAAAGCCTGAGCAAACTGCAGATCAATCTTCCCTGGTTTCTAGGATCCTTAAGGATTTGGGCTGCTGAAGTAGACAGTATTGCAGTCATTTATGATTTTAACAGAGATTAAAGAAGGAGTTTTCAGTCTTTTTTAGGTTCTCTGCCAGCAGCAAAACTAAAACCCATGGAAAGTCTGACAGAATTGAAAGACAAAACAGACAAAGGGACAGCACTGAGGACTACAAGGACAAGGAACCAGCTCATACTTAGCATAAGCCTTCTCCAGCAAGGCACTCCAGAATTCATTCCTCACGTTGGAATGGCAGTAGATGAGCCTCCCATTCTCTGTGGGCAGCAGATCATCCACCACCACCTCTGTCCACTCCCCAAAGCGCCAGAAGCGGAAACGGAAAATCCCAGTGTATTTCCTTGGGTTTTTGGGGTCCCACTCCTGCTCATTGTAGTCTGGAATCACCTGAGAAACCATGGAAGGGTGGGAAAAACTCCAAATCACTTGTTCTTACAATTTTAAAGGTTTAATAGTAATAAAATGGTTGTAAAGATAGTTGTAAAAATATAATTAGAGTAATAGAAATTTGGACAATTAGGATTTAGGACAATAGGAGACAATAAAAACAAAGAGTTACAAACAGTCCGGGTACCTCTTTCTGGGCTAAATAAGCCCGAAAAAGGACCCACATTAACAAAGGATTAACCCTTAAAAGCAGCAGCCTGTTGTATATTCATACATCTCATACATGATGCATAAATTCCATTCAAACACAGGATTCTGTCTGGGCAGAGTCAACTTCTTCCTCTGAATCCTGACAGCATTTTCAGAGCGAGGCAGGAAGAAGTTCGTTTCTTTTGATAATGGAGCAATAAATTCTCTTTGAAAGATTGAGGTGTCCTGTGACTGCTATCTCCATGTGAGTACCTCATTCCTTTCTTTAAAAAAATATCCCACATACATAGTTTCTATTTTAACATTATGTTATAACCTAAAACTATATTTAACACACTACTTAAGAAAATTAATACAGCACAACTTTCTAACATGACACATATAATATTCATTTTAATATTTGTGAAAAGCCAATCATATAACATGCATTTTTCACAAAGGGGAAGTTCAGCGAGTGCACTGTGCTGAGGTTTATTCTCAGGACAGACTGCCCTGGAACACGTTAAAGAAAGGGAAGATTTGAATCCACCAAAATTCACCCCTTATTAGTCCTAGGGAGAAAAACAGCCAAGGTTAGCTTGGTTTATTTGCTTTGTTTCCTGCACCACACACACCAATCACCCACCTGCTGCCAGAGGCTTTTCCTCAAAGCCAGGCAGGAGCACGCAGCCACAAACCAGCAGTTCCCCAGCTTGCCCTGGTGGAAGTCGTGGGAGCTCATCCCATCCACAAGCAGGTGGGGATCTTCACAGAGGTCCTGGCAAAGCAAACCAGAGATTACTGGAGACTCCACTCCCAACATGATCACAGCATCCTTCCAGTCAAGAAAAGCAGCAGGAATTGATACTGCTGACACCTGAGCTCTGAGCTTCTCCTTGTCAAGCCTCTAAAGGGGGGAGGAATGCTGCCTTAAGATTTTAGCCTTTATATTTTTCAAATCCTGTGCTGTGATAGTGCATAACTCTACACTTCATATAAAGGGTTAACTACTGTCCTCACACTTTGGTCAGACAGAACAATTCCTCTGGGCCAGGAACCCAAGGACAGCCTACAGCCTCAGGGTCTGAAAAGTACAAACAAAAGTAAATTGGGGGGCAGCAAACTGAGGGAATGCGACTTCATTACCTGAAGCTGTAATTGGGGAATGAACCTCTGATATGCAAATAGAGCAAACTTGTATCTGCCCAAAGAGCTCATGACCATTGTCCATCTTGGGTGTAGCCTCTGCCAGGCTCCTGCACTGCCCAAGGTGTGCCTGTTAAAGGCCTTTAATAAATACCCACTTTATTATTTTAACTTTGCCCTTTGCCTTGTTCTAGGTAGCCACTCCAAGGCATCATCTTCCCTGCCATTCCTCTGGCTGACACACTGGAAACCTCCTCCACCAACAGCCTGGGTCACTGCAGTGACCCACAGCAGGAGGAGAACACTCTGTGTGAAGCACACTTTTTATTCTCTGGGTCTCATAACTCTCATGGCTCCAGCTCCTGTTAGAACTATTTGTCCCTCCTTTCCTGGCTCCATCTCTATCCACATGCAGCTTCCCACCAGAGCATGGCTGGGATGTCTCCCTGCTCCTCCCTGGATTGCCCTTGCACTAAAGGGAGAACCTCTCCATTTCCTGGACCATGGGAAAGGCACAGGGGTGCATTTTGCAGCAGTGATGTGTTTGTCCCCACAAAATCCTTGGCAGAGGTGTCCTGCTGAACGGAGAGGGAGCCTCCCAACAATGCTCCATCCCTAACTGGTGTGGAACCTGCAGGGCTCAAGCCAGTGACTACTCCTGGCACTCTCCTGTCAGTCACTGCTCTTCCTGGCTGAGAAGATGGCAGAGAAGTTCTGCTCTTTCACAGTTTAATAAACCTGAATTTCAACACTGTGGAGATGATCCTATATCCAAGCATTAGAAAAGCAGAATAAGTAACTCAATCTCATCTCAAAATGGCAGGGGACCCCAGATTTCTGCAGTCTGTCCTGTCTGCCATCAGCAGCAGAGGAAGGAGCTGTGCTCCTTACCTATGGAATTCTCTCTGCCCTTTGGCAATTAAAGATGATGATCCCAAAATAGCAGGAGTGCAACCCAAGCATGGCCACACACCACAGGCATCTATCCCTCTGATGTGACTCTGACAAATCAGTGCCAGATTAACTCATTTCCAGAGAAAAGAGCCACCTCAGTGCTCAGCTGATGGTTTCAAAACCCAGGCTGGTTTAGCTGATGGGTCCTGAAATCAGCTCACAGCATGGAATTCATAGAGCTGCAGCCATTCTCCTTAAGGAAATCATATTTTTGGCAGGAGGCTTTTCTCATTAAATAACAGTTTATTTTATTCTCATAAAATAAACAGACATTTTAAATGCCTTTTGGGAAACAAACAACTGATCATTGCACGACACTGCTCTCCTGTCAGGAATTCTCACGTGTGTGCACTTAGAGAAAATTCAAAGCTTATTAAGAGACCTCAACAAAAATCTGAGTAACAGAATGGTGCCCAGGAGGAAAACTGAGCACAGACAAGATGCTCATCAGCATCGTGGACAGATTCATTCAGCCTCCCTGGATGCTCTGACATGGAATGGCTCTTCAGAGACGTGAATCCACCTAGCTGCAGGACAGGTGGACATCAGTTGGCCACTTGGCTTTCATGGTGGTAGCACACATCTCTCATCCACGTGGGCCAGATTCCATTTTATATCTCATTTCCTGGCCTCTCTGGCATTAATAATTTCTAGTTTGTTTTTCCTTTCAAAATGTTATTTTCTTAGAATAATAAATGAGGGCTAAATGGAGCCATTGGGGTTAAAACTGTCCAAACTTTTCTGTCACTAGTGGAAGCCAAAACTTTAATTAGTTTTAGAAAGAAATTAAGCACTGCTGTGTATTACAAAGATCTTATTTGGTTTGTTTTGATAAAAATAACCACATTAAACTGCCATGTTTTAATTGAAGTGTGTCTTGCATCTCACAAAGTCCTCAGAGGACAAACAGAGCAGCATGTGCCAACTGCCAAAATTTATGGATGAGATCAGCATTTGCTGAGTGCTGGGGTCCAAAGCAAACATGGAAAGCAGAGCTCAGAAACAGAACCTCCCTGCTCCCATCAGAGCCACCAAATTCTCCAGGATCCTGCCTGATAAATCCTTTCTGATTAAACCATCTAAGAGCCCTGGAGTTCTGGGGCTGAAGAACAGTGTAAGAAAATGCCACCAATTCTGTTTCTTTTATTAATTAATAAATTAATAAATTAAAGAATTAATGTAATTTTAACAGCTTCTGTGGTGACTGTCACTGTGAGGCTCAGATGAGACACAATAACACTGAGGCACAGCCTAGAGCTCATTTCAGCTCTTTGCTCTCTTCTGGGCTTTGTGATTTTCACCATTTATGCCATACAGTAAATTCTTAGGAATACTTTTATCTATTTAAGCCACAATTCCCCCAACACAAGTTAGAAATGTGCTGTTTCAATATATTATTCTGCAGTCCTTTTGACGGTCTTTAAGCATTTTTGGTTGCCCCAAGCATGTAAAACTAGAAATTGAAAAAAAAACCATTTAAAAATATATTTTTCTACAATGCTCCAGCAGTTAGGATATATAATGTGACAGTGTTCACAGGGGTCTCAGGCTGAGGGAAGAGATGAGGATCTGACTCCATGTTTCAGAAGGCTTGATTTATTATTTTATGATATATATTATATTAAAACTATACTAAAAGAATAGAATAAAGGATTTCATCAGAAGGCTAGCTGAGAATAGAAAAGGAAAGAATGATAACAAAGGTTTGTGGGAGTCTGATCCAGCTGACTGTGATTGGCCATTAATTAGAAACAACCACATGAGCCCAATCCCAGATGCACCTGTTGCATTCCACAGCAGCAGATAACCATTGGTTACATTTTGTTCCTGAGGCCTCTCAGCTTCTCAGGAGGAAAAATCCTAAGGAAAGGATTTTCCATAAAAGATGTCTGTGACAATATAATGTTCCCAAATTAGGATAGCTGAGGATCAAGCCAGTTACTATCAGAGGAATTCCAAGGAGGAGACACTGACAGGAGAGGTGATCCAGGCACTTCAGGAGCCCCAATCCCTTCTCTCTCTTGCTGCCTAAGCACCCAAGCACTGGGGCTGTGAGTTCCACCAGAACCTCCTCCTTTGCAGACACAATGGTTTAACCCCAATCCTTTTTCTCAGGATCATCATGCATCATCTGTGCTGTGAAGGAGAGAAATATCTTCCCATTTCCAAGGAAACATTTAAAGGCAGTTACTACAGGATCCCACTACACACCATTAATGCCTGGCAGCCCCCCTGTTTCTGACACAGCCCCACAATAGAAGCAGTTGTTGCAGTATTTGTGCCTGCAGGGAGCATCCCCAGTGCAGAGCTCTCCCCATTTCTCCCCTCACACATGTACACAGTGGAATAAACACCATCTGCAGAGCTCTAATTGGGCTGGGAACAGTCTGCAAGTGAGGTTGGAGGTTTCAGGGCCTCGTGGTTCTGCTGAAAGCCCTGATGCCCTCATTGTCCTACCAGGCTTTCATTTGCATGGCAGAATTCTGGTTGTGGCACCTCCCATCCTTGCTGTGTAGTTGAAATATGTGACATTCAGACACTGATGCTGTGAGGAATAAAGTGGCTCACAAACCCCTTTTTCCTGATTTTAAATGGTCCCTTTATTTGTAACAGAGCAACCTGGTGAACTGGCTTGTAATCCTATCCCAGTCTGGATCCTACAGAATTCCCACACCTGCCTTCCCAGCCCCTCATCCAAGCAGCAATGAAAATTCTGATGGGGGAGATTCCTGTAGCACTCCAGCAACACAACCTGAAAGTGTAATTTATTTCTCCAGCTATCCATCCCCATGAAGGAGTTTTGCAAAACAACGTGAACCATGGGAGACAACAGAAACTCATTTCACTGGAGCCATGAAATGGTTTGTGTGTTGTTCTGCCACAATTCCCTAAAATTAAAAAAACAATTAAAAAAAGAAAGGATGGGTTTTATTTGAGACCAGATGCACCACTGAAAGTACAGCAGGTAACTGATTGTGCATTGATAAATGCATTGGCTCTTGGAGGAATTTAGCTGAAGGAGAAAATTCCCCTTAGCTCTGAACATGCATCTTCTGGTGTGAGTGTTACCAATATTCATTAACTAAAAGTTATGCAGCATTGGTTAGAAATAGGGAGAAAGACATTCAGAGGGTTAATTAATTAGCTGCGTGTCTTCACAGGCATTAGCTGAAGCTGCATTGTAAAAAACATTAACTGTAAAACATTAAGAGAGATCTCAGACATCCACAAAAAGGGAAACACGATTTTTTAACATATTAGGGCCTGTCAGCTGTCTCAGAGAAAAACAGATATTCAGTCAAGGGAATAAGAAAGAAGACCAGTAATTGTTTGCAACTAAGATTTTCAAAGGTTTTTGTAGTATTTAGAGCTTCTTTTTGCCAGCACCCTTTAAAGAACCCAGCCCTAGCATGACAAATAATCCACCTTTGCTTGCACATGAGACCTACAGAGGCAGGCACTATCAGACTGATCTACTTAAGCTCAGTCACCATTGCCTTAAATTCTTTAAAGCAGGTTGATTTCTGTCAGAGCTGAGAATTGTTTCCATTTTCCTCCCTTCTCCCAGCCTCACATCATCCTGAGATAACTCCTGCAGAGGCAGTGTAGGGAGCAGGGGGAAGGAAATTCTTTCTGAACATGGATGGGAAAATCCAGCTTTGGCTGCAGCTGACACTG